GGCTCCGCTCCGCCCCCTCTGCGGCCGGGGGACCCGCCTGGCCTCGCCCCTGGGCGGCCCGCGTCGTGACCCCTAAATTCTGCCCCGTTGGTTTCCAAAACTGTTACTATGGGGACCCTCCAGGGAGCCACGCGCGCTGAATCCTTAAGGTGCCTCTTGGCTGTATGCTGACTGCGGTTTAACTCCCGGTTAAACACATTGCCCAGCTCGTTATAGTTTAACACCTTCCTATCCGTGTAGGAAACGTCCAGACCCATAGAGGATTTTCCTGAGCTTACGTGAGCCAAACTGTCGACAAGTGCGGGCAGCAAAATTTCAACAAGTTGACATCATGTTCCAGGTAAGGGCAGTTTTGCACCTTATTTTGTTATTTTTAAAAATTTATCTTTATTGTTGAAAGTATTACAGATGTCCTTTTTTCCCCCCATTGATTCCCCCCCATAAGCCTTCTCCACACTATTGTCTGTGTCCATGGGTTATGCACATATGCATATATGTTCTTTGATTAGTCTCTCCCCACCCACTCCCCTCTCCCCACCTTCCCTCTGAGATNCCTTCCCTCTGAGATGCCTCAGTCTGTTCCCTGCTTCTGTCTCTGCATCTATTTTGTTCATCGGTTTATTTTGTTCATTAGATTCCACATATGAGTAAGATCATGGGATACTTCTCTTTCTCTGCCTGGCTTATTTCACTTAGCGTAATACTCTCCAGGTCCCTCCATACTGTCCCAAAGGGTAAGAGATCCTGCTTCTTTACAGCTGCGTAGTATTCCATGGTGTAAATGTCCCACAGCTTTTTTACCCATTCATCTACTGATGGGCACTTGGGCTGTTTCCAGATCTTAGCTTTGTAAACTGACATTTCAGGTTGTCCCCCAGCTCCCTTAAGCTGTCCTCCTATTTTTTGTGTGTTTTTTTTATTTTGAATCTCTGATTGAGTGATTTTTTTTCTACCCTGTCTTCTAATTCGATGATCTGATCAGATCCTCAGCTTCCTCTAATCGGCTGTTTATTTCTTCCAATGTATTCTTTATTTCTGCTATGTCATTCTTAATTTTCTTCATAGTTTCCATAAATTTTCTCATGCTGTTGAGCATCCTTACAATCAGTATTCTGAACTCAGTATCTGATAGATTGCTTATCTCCATTTCATTTAGCTCTTCTTCTGAAGAATTCTCTTATTCTTTCATTTGGGGTTTGGTTTTTGTCTCCCAATTTGGCTGTGTGTTTGGGTTTGTTTCTGTATATTAGTTAGGTCTGCTAGGATTCCCAGTGTTTTTGGAGGGTCTCTAGTGCAGGCCAATGTCAGACACTGTTTATGACTGGCCTTGAGTACCTTGTTTGGAGCTATCAACAATCCACAGCTTGTGGTTAACTGTTGGGGCTTGATGCATTTGGAAAGGACCAAGATGCACGCCAAAGTCCGCTCTTCCAAGGCTGGGGTCCAGAAGCAGATCAGGAAAAGACTCAAAGTACCCAGAGATCCGCTTCTGCCAGTAGGCAGATTAATCTGAGTCTCTTAATGAGCCTCAGGCCGTAGACTACCGCAAGGCATAAAACTCCACAGGGTGGGGCCAGAGGTTTTCTAATGGGTGGGGCAATTGCTCCCCCACCCCCAGGAAAAAGCTGCCTGCTGGCAAAGGCCTGCCTAAGAAAGATGGCCTCAGTTGGGTGCGAGTGGGAGGCAACCAATCGATGTGTCTCTCTCACATCGATTTCTCTCTCTCACTTTCTCTCCCCACTTTCCACTCTTTAAAAAATCAATGGAAAAAATAGCCTCTGATGAAGATCAAAAAAACAAACAAAATAAAGTAATAGTTCAACATGAACCATGACACATATTGCTTCCTCCCCTAATTTAAAGTCAACATTTTCATATCCTTTGGAAATTTATTCTTTGAGTAAACTAGTTTAGAAATGTTTTTTATATAATAAAATAGACAAAACATTATTTTTTAAAAATTATCCTATGCAAAGTATACAAATAGTAGTTAATAAGCATTTTCAACAACCATGTCCTGCAATGGAACTCGCCTGTGCAGCAAAATAAAAGGAATGGAATATAATAAAGTATTAGCAGGGGGAAAATCAGAGTCTTTTCCAACCAACAATTCAGCAGTTTCCAGAGTAAACATTCAGAGTCTTATTAAAGAGTGGCTCCATTTGTTGATGTTTGACCATTCACATCTTTTAAGCCTCACTACAGCTGCTCTGTGTTCTGCCCATCTGGGCAAACTGATAATACAGCTCAAGTGGTCCCTTTCTTTATACCAGCTGAAGGCTCAAACCATCGGTGGGTACCATCACGCCAGACCCACTCAATAAGCACATTAACACATTAACTCCCTCACCATTCCCCATTCTCTCAAGCCATTTATTTCACCACCTGAAAGTCCATCCTGCTTGCCCTAAAAATATTTCTTATTTTACAAGGAATCTCTTAACACTTTAGTGTACGTGCTGATCAGTTTTGATATGCAAACCAAACACTGAACGATGTTCCATCCTTCCCACTGAATGGTGACAAGGGTAAATTAACAACAAAAAGTTTTCGGAGTTAATGTATGAAATTTCTAGTATCAAACCAAAAAAATATGTTCCCATTGTATTTGGGAAAAGGGACATTAAGGTGGCGTTGTCTCCTTAGAGATTAGCAACAGAGGGTGTGGCCCAATGAGAGGCCAGGCATGCGAAGTGACAATGAGAAAGCAAAAATAGCAACCCATGGGAAGATAGTACTGGGGAGGGCCCTGAGCTTTTCCTTGTTTTGCGCCCAAAGTTTCCTTTCCAGGTTTAGAAATGCTCGTATTATGTTAAGTGAAATATGTCAGTCAGAGAAAGACAAATACCATATTATTTTACTTAAACAGTAAAACCTCAATTTTGGGGACCCGGATTTAATGGACTTTGGATTTAACGTGTAAAATTTCCGGTCTGTATGTCATATGTGAATTTTACCCTGTTAATTTCAAAATGCTTTGAAACAAGATTTGCTTGTAATTAAAGTAACAGGTGTGCTTTTTTTGTTATTAATTCATTATTATTTTTAACAAATTTGAGAGACTAGGTATGTTCAAGAAAACACAGTAGTAATTTCCCTGACATAAATAAACATGAAATATCTACAACTATAGTCTACATATTTAAATACAAGTGTCACCACTTGAAAACAATGTTAGGTGAATGATTAGCATGTAATCACAAGCATCTCCTGCGGTAATTGGTTCTGTTGTCCAGTGGCATGACTTCCTGCAGCAGTTTTAACCTGTGCTGGCTGATGTCCATCAAGCGCTAAGCCATGCCCCAGCAGTGTGTATTTGTTTACTCCCAGTTACTGGTGAATGTGCATATTTACTAGACCTATTCAGTATAAATTTAAAATTACAGTGCCCAGCCCATGTTAAGTGTCAACCTAAGAACCAGGAGGTCAGAGTTAAATTCTGGGTCAGGGCACATGCTGGGGTTGTGGGCTTGATCCCCAGTAGGGGGCATCCTGCAGGAGGCAACCAATCAATGACTCTCTCAGAACTGATGTTTCTATCTCTCTCTCCCTCTCCCTTCCTAAACTCTCTGAAATCAATTTTTTAAAAAACATATTAAAATTGATAAAATATCCACTTAACTCCTTGAAAATCAGCGAGCCACAAACTCCACATACAGAGAATGGATTCCTGTTTTTCCTTTCGAATGGCCCTGCCTACAGTGCTCCAGATTTCATGGACACCCCCACCATGAGCTGATGTCATCATTTTAGAGACATGAGCATCCATTTCCATCTTCAGAGGAAACATCTGCCTTCTACGGGTTGCAATGTCCTGCAATTCCCGTCTATTAAAATTGTCACACTCACCAGATGTGGTTTAAAAATCAGGTGAAATGTACTTTTTTTGCTCTCTTTTTCCCCACTCCAGTTAAATCTGGTCATTTCTACCTGAAAAATATGTTGAACATGTTCATTTCCCTTCATAATATTATATTTGAAATAAATTACCCCAGCCTCTCTAGCATTGTCATGTACAAGGTCAGAACTAGCTCCCACAAGCTTTCCTTATGGACTGCATTTCCTTCCAGCATGGCCATCTTCATCAGCAGTGACCTGCCACAGGCCGATCCTCATTCATGTGCCTTTTCTCTTTTTTTCTTTTTTTTTAAATATCTTTATTGATCTTTTTTTAGAGAGAGGAAAGGAGAGGGAGAGAGAGATAGAAACATCAATGATGAGTGTCATTGATCGGCTGCCTCCTGCACGCCCCCTACTGGGGATCAAGCCCACAACCCAGGCATGTGCCCTGACTGGGAATCGACCGGAATCGCCTGGATCCTAGGTCGATGCTCAACCCCTGAGCCACGCCCGGCCGGGCCGTGTGCCTTTTCTTAACAATTCTATGCCTCATTCGTTTCTGCAAAATTTAGTGCGAAACACCAAACTTACAGACAATTTAATGGAATAACAATTTAAGTTACATTTAATTGAGATACATACAATTTACATATTCCTCATGAGGTTAGGAGATTTCATATTCCTTATCCAGGCAAAGCTCAGCCTCAAGACACTAGAATCATGGCTCATGATCAGAAAGGGAATGACAGTTGGGAAACACAGAGTAATTAATGCATTGATGTTGGAGAGAAACTGGCTGATACTGTTTAAAACAGACACAATAAGAAGAAAGATAATGGAAAGGGTGTTTAAAAAGACAAAGGTGCTCACCAGAAGGAGGATGAATTTGGTAGCTCTGGACTCAGGGCAGGCTCCAGAGGAGACGCAGGCCCTGTGGATGTGCTGGACCCTCTGCTTGTGTCTGTACAGGATGAAGACCATGAAGCCGTTGGCCCAGAGCATGAGCGCGAAACACAGAACATCAGGGGACATTAACAACACTACATATAAGTCTTGGTTTTTCCTGTGATGAACAGAAGAACAGTATCCAAAATTTTTTACACTTGTGATGTTCTTGTTGCCCAAACTGCTAGACATAACTATAGGAGCAATAACATTTACCAGCATTTGCAGGATCCAGTACAAGAAAATCAAAGGGGTGACGTATTTGGGAGCTTTCACTTTAAGCTCTGCCCACCTGGAGTTCATGGGGCTGATGGTGATGGCCTGGAAGATGCTGAGGAGGCAGGTGGTGCCAATGGACACACCCCTGCTCACTTGCCGAACATAGGGGAAAAATTTACATCCAAAATCACTGAGATGGCCATACCACCCAAAAGATGTCATCATATAGTGGATTCCGCTAGAGAACAGAACCAAGGAGTTGGCCACAGTCAGGTTGTTGACAATCAAATCTGTGGGCCTCAGCCTGCACCCAGTGAAATAAAGGAAGAGATAATGGTAAAGCAGAGAGAAATTCCCCAGGACTCCAATAACAGTGTGTAGTAAGAAGACTGTTCCTACGACCAGATCCCTGGTGGCCATGCTGTCTGTTCTCAGTGACCGATATTTTCTTCTGAGCTAGAGACGACCCTGCATGGGAATATGAGGCATAAGCCACATGCATCATGTCAGCTGAACCCCAATATTCTCCACTTACCAGCAGTTCTTACTGAAATACTGACTTAAAGTTTTTCTGTCATCTAGAAGCCTCTAAAAGTTGAATGTGTAACCATTAAAGAACACTTTCAAAGTATGAATCACTGCTACTAAGACCACACTGGCCAGCATGGCTCAGCGGTTGAGCATCAGTCTATGATCCAGGAGATTAAGGTTGGATTCCCAGTCAGGGCACATGCCTGGATTGCGGGCTTGATCCCCCGTTGGGGGTGTGCAGGAGGCAGCCGATCAATGACTCTCGTCATTGACGTTTCTCTCTCTCCCTCTCCCTTTCTCTTCCTTTCTCTTTCTGAAATTAATAAAGAGATATTTTTTTAAAAAACAAACAAGACCACACATAAAATAACTTCTTTATCCCTCATAAGCTCAAGAGGCATTTCTTACAAAGGTGAGTACCACATCAGCGCAGAGGTGTTGAGTTTCGTCTACATTCACACACTGGTTAGGAGCAGAGTTAGGATTTGTTCCTGGCTGAGCTGGTAACAAAGACAGTGCATTTAATCTATAATGTAATAACCTACTAGTTACCTGTGTTTTTCAAAGAAACCAGTTGTTTTTGAACCCTGTCATTTTGATTTCCATTTGTGGTATTTTATTTTAAAATTTTGATAATGTCAAGTGTCCACTTATTTATGAAGGTTTATTCTATAGGCAAATATAAACTTTGAATAAAGCTTTAGAGATCTTCATAGAAAGCAGGTGTATTAATTGCAAAATAAAACTGCAGGTACCTGCCCCATGACAAGTTGGGTTAAATGAGTGCAAGAATGGTGCAATTTTAGCATGGCAACAAAGACTCATTTGCTTTATCCCAGAAAAAAAGTTCACTTACATAATTCACAGAAACAGTGCTTTGTAGAAACAAAATTATTAATAACTTTAGGTCACATTCATACCTACTTATTAATAACTGAGTTAAATAAGATTCTTAGCAGTAAGGCAAGATTTGTATGAAAGATTAACATACTAGACACATAAGGCAAAACACTTGAGTATTGTGTAAATGGCATACTTGCATTCGATTAATATAATATTTAAGAGCAACAGAAATGCCAGAGTGTCCCCAAAAATGTATACACACGTTTTGAATAATTATAAAGGCAGTGTTTATTAAAATACATTTTATTTTCAGAATTGAACTATCAGCTGTTTAAGTGTGTATACGTTTTTTGGGAACACCCAGTATTTGAGTCTGAAAATACTGTCTGAAAGTTTTAAAGTTATATTTTTTAAATGCTGCTTCTTTAAGTGGGAAAGATGTCTCCATAGAAAACATATACACAATTATTAAATATGTTTAGCAAATAATATACTCAGTCAGAAAAAATATTTTTATTTCAGTAACAGCTCTCAGACACAATTTCTTTGCAGGATCTGATGATTCCTATAGATTTAAAAGCATGGACCTATTATGGGTGCACCTCTAGAAACCTGAAAATTATGTCTGTGATTCCCACAAAGTTGGCTGAACAGAGATTTACTGCAGAACTCCAGCCATTAAGCATGTTAAAAATCAGAGTTCACAATCGCTGGATAAAACACAACAATGAATGTCAGTGAGGACTGCACTACATCACATCAGGAGCCGTCAGGGACTGGAGCAGGTCTAGGACCATCTCTTTTTACCCACTCAGCTCAAGCCTCAGGAATTCCTCCCCCTTACTCTGTGGCTTTGGTGCTGGACCAGGTTCACTCACAGAAGATCGTCTTTGTCCAGTATGTGCACTTACCCAGACTCCAGATACAACACCTTCCCTTACAGACTCTACCTCTCAGATTGATCAAGAGAAAACTCACCGACATCTTCCCACTGCCTGGATGCTGACGCACGGTGAAGTCAGCACTGTTAGTACATGTGAGAGGGAGGCAGCCAGACCCTCAGATATGGGTTGTGATTCTGTGACCTCGCTTCCCCTGGGAACTGCAATTATCACTTCACCTGTAGCAGCACTGGCACTAACAGGCTTGGGAGCTGAGAATATTTTTGGAAAACTTTGTTCCAATTACCAATTATAGGAAACAATTACAAGTATCTAGAGAACATCTACAAAGAAGGAGATGAGGTTCGGAGACACATTTTATTTTCCCTGATCCCTGGAAGCAGACAAAGTCTCCCATGAGAGAGAAGGACCTGCTGAGGTCTGGCCGATGAGGGACTGGCAGTGTAGCATGCTTGCCTTCCTGAGCTATCTGCTTTCCTGAGTTCTTCTATCCAAAATCTAATTCTTTATCACTCTTCAGCGCCTCTGCGGGAATCACAGCGTGTCTTTGCCTGGTGGCAAAAAGGTGGGGTTTTTTGTTTTTTGAAATTGATTTCAGAGAGAGAAAGGGAGAGGGAGAGAGATAGAAACAATGATGAGAACCATTGATCGGCTCCCTCCTGGACGTCCCCTACTGGGGATGAAGCCCACAATGGGGCATGTGCCCTGATGGGGAATAGAACCAAGAGCTGTTGGTTCATAGGTCGATGCTCAACCACTTAGCCACCCCAGGCAAAAAAGTTTTTCACTTAAACCGGTTTCAGCTTATTAAAAGGAAAACATCTCGGCTTCCAAATATAAGGGGTCCACACCACCCTAAGCTTTTCTCTAAAACGTTTACTTAAAACAGGCAGGAAGCAACCGTGCCGCTAAGCACGTGAAGGACATTCTAACGCGCGGGAGCCTAGACGATCAAGTTCACTGGGGCAAATAGGAAAGGCCCTGGGGGCGGGGCGGGTGGTAGACACGCCCCTTTCCAGGCCAAGTCCGGTCATTGGCTTAACCGCTTTCCCACGAGCTTCCCTCTCCCGCTCCGCAGTGCAGGCCCCGCCCCCTGCACCTGCCTGCGCCTGCGCAGTTTCCCGCAGACCCGGAAGCTGATCCGGAGCCCTGGAGGTCACGTCCCGTTGAGGGATACTCAGTCTGTCTCCTTCACACCGGCGCTTGGTGGCTTCCGGGTCCGCAAACCTGCACAGCTCGGGTGTGGGGGCCGCTACGGACGTTAAAATTCTCGCGCCCGCCCGTCCCCCTCGTGGCGTGGCCCTGTATCGCCGTGAGACGTCCCGAGCCCTGGGATCAGCTTCCGTTATCGGTTAAAATCACTCGGAGGCGGAGCCCTGCCGCCTGGCTGCCCCGCGGCGGTGTGGACGCCACCTGCGTCGTCGTCTTCCCGCCTGAAACCTTTCAGCGGCCCTCCTCGCCCACCCCTGCGCCGGCTGAAGCCCTCACTGGGTACGTGGATTCTCGCCGCCCTCGCAGGTGCCCACCCCCAGCGGGCAGCGCCAGGCGCCGCGCGCTCCCCCGGGTCGGGGGAGTCTGCAGACCTCACCCCTCCTGCGACACGCGCACACCACCCCACTCTTCGCGTTCTCCTAGGGCGGGACCTGCCTCTCCCCTGGCCCCTCCTCCGCTCCGGGCGAGGTGACGGGCTGCGTGTCCTCTGCAACCTCCTGTTTCTTTCATTCCAAGGCTCTTCCCATGACTGCTAGTGGTGGTGCGCTTACAGCCCCAATACCCACCCC